CGATCCACGATCTCTGCGGGAGAGTCAGTAAGTCAACACTATTAAGCTACAACGGTTGCTTTTTTTTTAAATCTTAATATGTCTGTTAATAATAATAAATTACCGGAGTCAAAGAGAAGGAAATATTATGCCTTTTGTCTATAAAAAGTGAAAACGATGACAAGTCAATGTGCGACAAATGCCAAAATCCCATTTGCGCAAAGCACAAATCGAACACTTGGCCCTTGTAAAGGCCAATTTTTTAATTTACTTTCTTAAAGTAAAATATATTACGTAAAATTAATTTTCTAACATTCATAGTTAATATTTTTTGGTTTTTGCAACGTAAGAAAAACCTATTTTTGTCGAATCGACGTATGGTTATCTTTGACGTACTATAAAATACGGTTATCTTTATAGGGTTAATTAAATGGGGAAAAAAGGTAAGTGAAATACAGTCACATCTTAGACCATTTTTAAACCTGTTAAGACGGTAGTAATAACGCAAATAACATTTAGAACACAAACCATGTCATCTGGCGCTCAACAACCTTCTCATTCACTAAAAATTAAGATATGCCTAAGTAACATGATTATTATCATAATTCTGTGTTATATAGATATTGCATTAAAGTTCTTAAACGTAATTTCGAATTCCCACTCTTGCTGTCAACAATACGTCACTGTCCCACTATTGCTATGATTTAATATAATAAGATTAAGGTTTTTGTGTTTTGTGGTTTATTTTTTTTTTTTATTTATTATAATTGAACGTTTACAATAGATATTACCCATCTTTGTCGCTGAAGAAATAGTACAAAGTATCCAAAAGCAGCTTTTCTTTAAATTTGTTTTAAAACCACTTTAAAATTAATAGCGACATGGAATTTCTTACGATCGAAATTTGATTAAAATTGTATTTATTTTTAAATACATAATAATTTTTTTTAAATAACACTATTTTCATGCAACTCGTAATATTTTATCAATTTTGTTACATTTTGAAGCTTGTTGAAGCTAAATATAAAACTCATATACAACTAGAGTGTAGTGTAGTGTGCGGCGACGGTTAGTGATTGCATCGCTATACTTGCGATTTATAGGCGATTGACACAGACGACTTCATTCATACAAACGCGCGATTGCACCGGTACAAACGCGCGATTGCATCGATGCAATCGCCTATAAATCCCAAATGTAGCGATGCAATCGCGCGTTTGTATCGATGCAGTCGCGCGCTTGGATCGCGTTTGCACCGCTGCTTAAAATCGCGCGCGTAAAGGTAACCACTGCATCGCGTTTGCATCACTGCAATAAGTCGCCGTGTGTCTGCCTGCTGCCCGCCTCGTAACTGCTTCCGTGGCCGAGCGGTTACGATTACGGGGACTACCACGCAGAGATCCCAGGTCGGATTTCCGGGCCGGGAGAAATATTTGTATGGCCTGCATTTATATCTCTCATGAGTTTGGGGGTAATTTGTGGTTGTCTATGTGTATGTCCATGGCACCCGCGACACAGGGTTTCCCTAGTGCGGAGCAATGTTGAGTGTGTGCGTTTGTGTGTAACTACTTTACTTTGTATAAAGTTTTTGTTTCGCAGTTATTTTTAAACTTTGTAATTGGCATTTTTTTGTATCAACAGAGATGTTATTCTGGAAGCATGTATTGACTTTATGGAGACGACTGTCGAATACAGTCAATACACTTTTGCTTCTTTTTTCCCATAGATGGCATTAGAATACTTTTTGCCAACTATAAAATAAAAGATCAAGAGTTGGACGAGAGAAAAAACAAAAAGGAAAATAAAGGAAAATGGTTAGGAAAGCTAAGATTGGAAGGAATTAATAAAGTGTATTAATATGTTTACTGCAATTTTTAATGAAATGATTTTCTCATCTTTACAGATATTTACACAAGGTCCAAAATGTCAAATTAGATGTGCGTTTGACTAGGATTTACATCCCGGGAATGTCAATCTTGATGATTTTTTGATATTTCCGAGACTCGACACTGATGTTATCAGTTAAGGGAATATCCAGACTTTTAAGACTTAAGTCACATAAACATTGTAAAAGTCTATTTTTAATACAGTTGCTCAAAACGTGGTATTTTTCGTACTACAAATCATGCCGAAAGTTGGTTTTCTCGCACTAGTGCTTTTACTTTTCCATTTTTTTTTAATTTACTGTTGTTTCAAATCTTAGACATAGAACTAAAGAGGTTATATATTTATTTAATATTTATGTGCTTTGTGACGTAAGTCATTCGTCATTAAAACTTATATTTACTTACAAACATCTTATTTGTTTAAATTGCCTAGGTGTTTTATAAACAACGGGTTACATTTAAAAATACCAAAATATTTTCCATAAAGATGGCTGATTGAGTATTAACAATGACTGGAGGTGAGTATTACGCGAGACCGCTGCGCGCCGAGCCACTAAAATAGTAATTTTAATGTAGCTGATTACTGGCAACAGTTGCCATTGTACACTGAATTTTTATCAGACAAAGAAATATTATATTAAATACTGTTTTATTTTACTTTCAGTGTAGTTTTTTCGCAAATGTATTACAAAACGTCGTTTGATACATGTGCCGATTTTCACTTGTCTCGAGTCTTGACCTTCGCCTCTGGCTCGGGCCAAGCAGCCTCGAGCCTCGCGAATAATGACTAACTTTCCGCACTTGTAATCAAAAACAACTATTATATACATATATACCAACAGGCTTTTTTTTCCAGTTTCGTGGATATGGCAACACTGTAGATTGGACCATAGAACAGAATAATCAGTTTCAGTTTTTCATCCTCTAAGGTTTTCACACGAAATAATTTATAGTTTATGTACAACATTAACGTTTCCAGTTTCTTAATTATTTGTGACCTTGGTACCTTTTTAAGTTGAAAGCTCTATAGACAATGCTCAATAAACAATTCAATTAGAATGATCTGTGGAGAAAGGGGAACAATAAAATAAAATCCGGTTTTAGTAGCAGTAGAGTTCCTTGCGTAAGAGTACGTCCAGGGAAGTACTGCCTTACCTATTTCTGCCGCCAAGCAGTAATGTCAGCATTACCGCGTTCCTGTTTTGAAAAGTAAGGGTGCTGGTCGAATTACAGGCACATGGGACTTGTCAACTTATGCTTCAGGGTGACGGGCGCAGTGGCAGTGCCCCTCAGATCTTTGCGATTTAAAGCTCTGAGTGGCACTGTAACTGTTAATGACAGGCGTGTTGCTTACTATCAGGCACGGCTTGTTCGTCCCATCATAAAAAAAGGTTCTGACTATCTGAAACCACACTAAACGTCCTTTGTTTTTACGTGTCCAATGAAAATAAAAGAAAAAAATACCTATCATAAATATAGGAAATGAAACTATTTTTCCGGATTTATTTTTTCAAACAAACCTTCATAAATAGTTTTTGATTTTATAATTTGACTTAATAAAGAACTTGATTAAAATATTGTTTTGACTGCCTAAATGAAAACTACTTTTGAAGTAGTCTCGTGTCTTATTTTTCCCGGAATTTCGTGACCATGTCGAGTCCCAATTTTGCGACACTGAACGCCCTGCTCTTGACCGTACATAACGCTCCAGCTTTAAAATGTTCGCTGTCTGTCATTTTCAGGACATCCGCCACCGTGAAGTCTTTTGAATTATCAATGCAATAAATATAAATTTTAAAAATACCTACAAATATACCAAACTCTAAGGGTCGTATTCTAGAACTCTACTCAATGCTCAAGTCAGGACTTGAATATGATTCAAAGCACTAGAAATCATACTCAAGTCCTTGCCATTAGGGTCGTATTTCCAGTGCTTGAAATCATACTCAAGTCTGCTCAAATCCTGACTTGAGCATTGAGTAGAGTTCTGGAATACGACTCATAGTATGCAGGTACTATATTATAACAACCTGTGACTTTCATTATTATGTTATTATACCTATGTTTCACTGAGTTTCCCCGTTTTATAAACAAATAAAAACAAGTCAAAACCTTTTAGGTGGCTGAAATGCTGAAAAGCCGCGAAAAGTCAATAAAAAAGAAAAAACTGTTTTTTTAATACTTAAAGCCAATGCTCTTATTATAAGAATTAACAAAACTGACAAGCGGCTTGGCAGCCATGCTTATGCTCGTTTTCGTTTCCCATTCGCTTTGTCGAATATTTGTTATACACAAAGAAAGAATTCCCAGAAGTTACACGCAAACAAAATTGAAATAAAATAAATTATAAATTAAGTAAATAAAAAATTTCAGCGGAATTTCAACAACACAATCACGCGGGCAGGGTGGGCAGGATTAATTTTCAAAATGTCATTTTTAGGGGTCCCGTACCTACCGGTAAGAAACCTTCTCTTGAGTATCCTGTATTTGGTCTGTCATTTCGTTAATTGCCTGATTAATTATGCAACATTTTTATCGGTTTCAAAGCTTAGTTATAGGACTTTGTAGCTGACATTCTACCTTAGGTGAGAGAATTTCTAAAATATATTATTTTTAGTGAAAATGTTATTATGGTCTATATCCAACTTGAAGTGAGACTACTTGCTCAGTAAAAACAGAAGTCAATATCTATGAGTATTTAAATTGAAAATTCTGGCATTGTATCTAACCATTTGCATACATTTACAGGAAAAATAATACAAAGTTACATTTATCATTGCATGACGCATAAGGTCTTCAATACGGAACTCACTTTACACGAATTTAACTCGCACTTGGCGGGCTTTAATATAATAAAAATATATAAAATGGAACTTAATAAAAATCGTAAGAAAATATCAGTGATAATTATTTTATTTTCAAAAAAATCGTTCCTCGTTAACATAAAACTTTATTCTTCAAAAAAAAGTAGGCTTGATGCGAGCAGCTGTTCACCGCGTCGTCGCCATTGTTATTTCTTGTCTCTTTCTGGCGCCCGCTTCCATGCCGCTTCTTCCCTCTCCCTTCCCGTTCCCCGCATGGCCGGCCAGTTTCGCTCGATTCTTGTGGCGTGAGGACGACTGCGTGCGGTGCACAAATAAATTTCACGGTTATTATCCTTTGTCCAGGGATAACTAGGTTCGCGTAAGCGGTCCGGGTCATTTGCTACAGAAAACTTGATCAAACGTGACAAATAACTTGTGGATTTAGCCGGTGTATGTGTATTGCTACGTTTGGTGTGTTTTGTGATTCCCGCATAGCCGTTCGAGCATGAATAATAAAGAAGTAGCCGGTGATAGCGTCGCGTGTCCACTGGGAGAGGGCTGGTGATCGGGCGGGGTGTTGGCGTGTGATGGTGGTGAGTTTGCGGTGACGGCTCGCCGCGGCGCGGTTGGATGGCGGCCGTTAGTGGCCCCGCGCGGCACTCTCGCGTCTCCATGAGCGTGTCCATGTCGCTGATGCAGGGCGGTACGCAGAGCGCGCCGCAGGGCGCCATCCTGGCGGCGGCGGCGCCCTACTACCAGACGCAGGCCATCCCCACGGATGTGCAGCCCGACCGCCCCATCGGCTATGGCGCCTTCGGAGTCGTATGGTGAGTCTTCCAATCCCGTAAGGTGTTGAACCAACTTATTCAACACAACTCTGCTTCATAAACAGTGATTTGTCTGACAAACATTTGCTTCCAAAACACAAGTTTGTTGACAAATTGTTTAAGCGGCAACTGCTGTATAGATATACAAACTTCTAGTTCCACCTGCACTATAACATTCTCACATTAAAATTGGGTACTACGAGTTTTCTGTTAAAATGAAGTATTTTATTATTTAAACTATGCATTTTGATAAATAGTAGCAGTAGAGCTCCTAGTGAATGTGTTCGTCCAGGGAAGTGCTGCCATTTTACCTATTTCTGCCGCTAAGCAGTAAAACTGAGTGACATTGCAACTGTTTAGGATAGGAGCGCTTACCACCGCCTACCTGGTCGGCCATACGACTTGTTCGTCCTGTCACTTGGAAAAAGATTATACAGTGAGAAAGAAGAACACGAAGAAGGTCACGCCGAAGTTTCTATTCTAGTTACAAGCTTGCTTAATGAAATGTACAAAAATCTTAAAGTTCAATCATTTAAAATGTAACAATAACATATTAATAGTGTGAAGGTCAATTATGAAATAGGTAGCTACTTCGAAGAAATGCAAGTCATTTAACAACCATTTTAAGTACGCAAGTCAGTCATTTTACAACTTGAACGTAAAACATTTTGTATTGTTTTTACTGTACATGATCCCTAAACTCATTTCCTTCTCCTTTGCTGAGACAGATTTAAGACCTATAAATGTTCCTCATGGTAATGAAATTAATTCACTGGGCGTTGTATTGTACCTTATATTAGTTAATGTTCTGCATTTTATTGTACGCTAAATATAATTAAAATGTAAGGTGAAATAAAACTAGATGGCATAAACAGAACTGCAGAGAAATGAAACAAAAACAAGACATGTTTTCTTCCAATAGACTATTTTCTTTTTGATCAAATCCTAAAACTCGACTTTCTTATTGTGAATGTTAAAGTAACAATGCTCATTGTTGCGTTTTACAATGCAGCTGGCAACAGTGCCACTGTTGCGTGTAGTATATGTCACTGCTTAAAATTTAGTTGATTCGTATCTAGAACATTTCTTTATATTTACGACCATCTTTGTGTGTGATTAATTATGTATACCGTTAAAAGAATGCAATACAATGGATTGGAAACATGTAAGAGCAAAATCCACTGTTAGGCTTTACGTACACGATGCTATTACTGGTTCCCGCCCGCGGTTGCCGTATCAGAGCGGCTGCGTTTACTGGTTCCAAACACGAGCTGTACGTTAAGTGAAAGCCCCCAGATTCGTTTCAGCGTCAGTTTTTATTATTAAACTTTATTAGATCGTTTTTATGGCGAACGGTGTACAATCTGGACCGCGAGACGCTATCAGTTTTCGTGTTACGTACGAACCGAGTGTGGGGAACATTTCAAAGTTTACAACATGTGCGATGAAGTTAGGCTAGCTAATCTGCCCTCTGTAAACACGTGGTGTTTCCTCTGTCGGGCGACGTGTATTCAATCCAGCGTAAACGACATAAGAGCGCTTTTCAATATTCAAACATTCCGCAATCGAGTGCACATTGCGTCTTGCGACTGCGTACTAAATGCAGACGATTCTGCACTTTATTGCTGGCGTGTTGGATCGTTTTCGATTCGTGTCCTCTGTGAGTTATTGAAACGAGTGCAGCGCCTGCGTATTTGTTGTCGTAACGTTGGACTCTACCGTCTTGTTGATAAGGCTGATTTTATCGTAGTAAGGGACGCAGTCGTCACTCTTGCAGCGGGGGTTAGTAGATGGTAAGGTATGGGTGGATGCTTTGTGCCGACTCGTCGTGCGTAGGTAGGGTCCTCATGGCGCTTGGCGCGTCGATTGTGTGTGAACGACCCCGACGAGGGGAGGCCTGATTATTCCGAAGCGCGTCGATCGGTGGAGGGCCCTAAAACCCGACCGCACTTAGTTCCCAGCCCTTGCCTCGTAGTCTAGTCGTATGTTAAACAGGACTCGAATCGACAACGTCGGATTTTAGGTATGAACGAACTTTAAAATTCATCTCAGTCCTTTGTCTTTTGTGCAAATAGTATATGCTCTGAGACAATTGGCTCGCACGTAACACGGCTTTCTGCTTCACGCTGGCATGAAATGAGTTCGTTTCATCACGTTGTGATGAGACAATCGCGATATTGTCGAAGGCACGACCTACCGACTATAAATAAAGCACATAGAAAGTTTAATAATGACGACCTGCAATTATTACACGTCGAAAATCACCACTACAGACATCACTGGAAGGCTACTTTTTTTTGGTCATCTACCGTAACCAAGAGGATGTTCTACGTTGACCGTAGTCCGTAAGACAATGCCCGTAATTAAAAATAAACATTGAGTTTTATTGGACACTGACAGCTTTGAGGGGTAATTAACCTTGAAACTTGTTTTCTTTCGTGTCGTTTAAAATTTAGGCGTGCCGTATGACAGATGACACAAACCAGATATTAAAAATTTTTTGTTAGCCATCAGAAATAAAAAAAATGCACATACGTTCCTTGACATGCATTTGATATGCATTTTCTTTTTTAACCGACTTCAAAAATGGAGGATGTTTTTTCGACTGTATTCTTTTGTGTGTATGTTACGCGATAACTTTGTGAACATTTGTGAACCGATTTTGATGATTCTTTTTTTGTTGGAGAGAGGGTATCTCAGTGTTGGTCCCATTTAAATATGAAGAAAATTTTCCGCTTCTAAGGATGGCAAACTAGAGGATGAATCCGGTTTCGCGCACGTTCCAGCAACTGATTTCAATAAAACTTGGCAAATAGATGTAATTCCAATGAACTTTTGAGGTCTTATTTCTTTATAAATAAGTTATAATTATACAGTACTCCGAATTTGATATCTATGGTTTTTTGTATTAAGTACCTCAAACTCCTAGTATCCTATGTCAACGTGAAGAAAAGGGTAAGCATTGAACTTGTAACCTGAAACCCTCGCACCTTATATTATGACGTCACATTTCACCAGTTAATGTCACGCCGCTTTTAGACCATTCCGAGAATAGAAACTAGGTATAAGTAGGACGTTATTGATGACGGGACTGTCGCAAAAGTTCGGACTTCTAATGATATACTAGATGAGATACTAGATGTAGTAATCGTGACATAAATATAATAACTGTGTAAGATGGTAGCACCTACCCTTAATTACTAATCACATTATTCTGAATCAGTCAGATTCTGACTGATTAATAAAATAATGACTGGATACAAATTTACATAATTTGGAATGTCACACACAACTATATCCACGTTTGATCACTACAACCTGTTGAAATAAACGTTTTTTTATGAAACCAACTTAACGGGACGAACAAGTCGTGCCTGCTTACGACATAAAATAAATGTATAGATCTTTAAGACACATTGCATTACGTACACACCCTTTTACGGACAAAAACTGTAACAAAAATGAAAAACAATAAAGAACTTTCTATTCTATTTTAAGCGATTCGCCAGACTATAGTAGCTGCAGTTTCGCTCAGAGCTTTAAATTGCAAAGATCTGAGGGACACTGCCACTGCGCCTGTCATCCTGAGACATAAGTTGACAAGTCTTATGTGCCTGTAATTTCACCAGGACCCTTAGCCTTCAAAACGGAACGCAGATGCTCACATTACCGCCTGGCGGCAGAAATAGGTAAGGTGGCAGTACTTCCCTGGACGAAATCTTTCACATGGAGATCTACTGCTACTTTGTCCAGTATTATAATTTAATTAATTTTATAATCGAATAAGAAATTCACCACACTTATTCACGCGAAATCGGCTTGAGCTGGTTAGAGAAAACTTTTACAAATATGCTCTAAGAACGAAAGACGTTGCGCGTGTCGCTTTCTTAAGAGTCTACAACCTGAAATGGTTTTGGTTTATTCCGTATGACAGTGAAAGAGATTAATCAATCCCGTTGGAAAAAACATATAGTAAAATTGAGATACACTGATTACTACACGGTGTGATAACACGATTGCTAAAAATGTTCACGATAGAAGAAAAACACAAACTTATCTCGAAATTTCACAAGAAAACCGTTGTATTCAGTACGTACTTTACTTATAAACTGAACTAAATAGACCACGTGTGGTATACGATATCCATTTTTCAAATAGCTATAATTTCGTAACATAATTAATTTACACTATTTACTTGCTTTGAATGTTAAGACGTCTTATATAGGCTTTGTCGATCTCGCTAGCATTGGGGATAGTACAAGATCCCGGGTTCGAATCCCGGTGAAACCAATTTGAGAAATCAGCTTTTCTTAAATGTTTCTGGTTTGGGTATTCTGGGTAAGCGTTAAATAATTAACTCCGGAGTTGTGCTGGCACAGGATTATCATTTTGGTTACCAACAATTGGATATAAAAGACCTCATTCGATTTATAGTAACTGTAAATTGTCTAATTGTTACCTCTGTAAGATAAGTTTCTTATTCAGTTCACTTCACTTTGGTTGAACGTGGTTGAGGTTTTTGTCAGCCCTATCCAAATAGAAACCCCCGTCTATGGTTTCCACCCGCGTCTAATCGCACGCAGCCATGTTGAAAAAGTAGATCCATCCGCCTTTGTAAACAGCATGGAACGAAAGCCTTTTGTAATGGGTACCTACTTTTCATTAAAAACTGCCTCACAAAACTCTACTGTCACAAATTTACTCCTTTAAAATCATCGTACTGTCTGTTACGCATTTTGTCCTCTGATTATTTCCAGTGCTGGGTGGTAATCCCTGTTTCAGAGTAAATTTTTTTGTTTCTTTTTCATTAAAATAAGATAATACGCTCACTATTGCCTGTAGCTTGCTTTCATTCCCTGTGATATACTGTACAGCAATATCTTCAAGATTATATGGAAGTATATGAAGTGTTCTCTGGGCGATCTTCAAAACTTCAAAAGATTCGTTTTACACTTGCTTACCTGCTTGCCTGGGAAGGTTCCTACCTGCGGAACGTTTCT